GGCTACGCCGCGTCGCCCCGGCGCGCCGACGACGCCTGCTACGCCGTCGTCGTCAACCGCCGCGACGACGGTGATCACCAGGGCGCCGGCGCCGGCGCGTACCACCCGCCGCTCCGCGTCTGCCCGGCGCCCCTGCATCCGTCGAGCCCCTTCGTCGCCGCCGCGCCGTCCCCGCTCGTGCAGCCCGTCGACGACCCGGAGAAGCAGTGGCTGGCGAACCAGCTCCGCGGCCTGCTCGTCGAGGACGCGCCCGCCGCGCCCCAGGCCCCGCCCGTCGGCAACGGCGCCCCGGCGGACTTCTCTGCGCCGCGTGGCGCCGCGTACTATGGCTACCCCTTTGGGGCGCCGGGCTCCTCGGTTCACGGCGAGCCCCTGGTGAACGAGCAGGCCATGGCGGCCGGCTACCGCTTCGCACTCGGCCCGGACGTCGGCCTGGGCGCCCACCCCACCGGCCTGGAGGTCAACATGAACGGCTTCATGTACAATAGGACAGCAAACGGCACTGGCATTGGTTGGGGACAGGGCCTGGTGCACCCTGCTCATGCTCACCCCGAGCCCTTCATGCTTCCTGGGCAGGCTGCCCCAGAACAACACAACTGGGGGTTTGTTGGGACTGGTCCGATTGCCCTTGACCCCCGTGGTGGAGCAGGCCGTTCACCCAAATTGCACTGCGAGTACGGCGTGCCTGTGCACACCGGCAATCGCTACATGAAAGGCGGCATGAATAATCAGATGGAGGCGTTTCGCCGCGAGGACGGTCAGAATTTCGATGGCAAGAAGAACATGCCTGTTCTCTACCGTGCCAAGGACAGGAGGTTTCAGCAGCATGCCAACAACAACAGGGCACTGGAGCTGGAGAGTCCTAGGATGCTGAGGTATGAGAACATGGTTGGAGTTAAGGGGTACATCTACTTCATGGCCAAGGACCAGAATGGCTGCCGCTTCTTGCAGCAGAAGTTTGAGGAAGGGAAGCAACACGTGGATGTGATTTTCGAAGGAATCATTGACCACATGGCAGAGCTTATGATCAACTCGTTTGCCAACTATCTCATTCAGAAGCTTCTGGATGTGTGTGATGAGGATCAAAGGCTGAGGATCATCGCCGTGCTGACGGAGGACCCTGTGAAGCTGCTGAGAATCTCTGTGAATTCACATGGGTAATTTACCTTCTCTTGCCTAAACTGATCAATTAACTACCTGAAATTAGAAGTAATTTTACTAGCTAACCAATTGTCACAAACTATTACTGTATTTGAGAATGCTGCAATTTGTGTTTGGACAAGGAAGTGCACAGGCAGTAGAATTGTGCCATGATGCTTACATTGCAACATAAAACCCCTTTTGTTACTAAATGCATGCAAATGATTGGTGATGATTTGGTTGTTGTGATTTGTTTCAGGACAAGGGTAGTTCAGAAATTGATAGAGACTGTTAAGGTCAGGAAGCAGATAGTGCTCATTATTTCGGCCCTACAACCAGGCTTCATGCATCTTGTCAATGATCTCAATGGTAATCATGTCATACAGAAGTGCTTGTCAAACTTTGGTGCAGAGGAGAACAAGGTACATAATAGTACTTACATAGCTATTTTTGGTCATATAACCAACTTTTAGCAATTACTAGTTATCATATTTTTTTTTGACAAATGCACTCCAAAAGTTTGAGAATCAGCACTATGACAGCGAATTTATCAGCTATGTGCTGTGGACCTACCATGCAATCTGCACAATCTAGTGCAAATTAAATATTGAAGTACTTGAACCTACACATGTGCATAAACTCATAAGTATGTTGGCTTGAATTTATAACACGTTGTTCCGTGTTTACTTGCATTATGTAAATTTGCCGGCAGATGAACAAAAACTAAACCTGTACATCAGCGTGCGCATAATTTTAGAAGTTTATGTTTGAAAGAGTTTCAGTAGCAGTTTATATGCGCTAGCCAATATTCAGGAGACTGTGTTTGCTGATTGTTATCTTAATTCCATATGCATCACTGTATATACAAAAGGTACCTAGCACTTGAGGTAGGTAGTACTAGGTCTTATTTTTATGTATGTGTGATACTTGGGATCTGGACGACTAGGGATAACTAAAATATGACCTGAATTTAAGTTAACAGATCGGGACATTAAAAAAATTCACGTCCTAAAATAATCCAAAACCTAATTGTGGTTATGCTTAACTAAATTACTAGTACTTAGGTTCTCCAGTGGACTAATTTCTGGCATAATCATCTTAATGATGTTGGTTTGGTGTG